CTCTGGTCACCACCAATGGCGCCAGAACTTGAGAATTCCACTCCTCCAGGGCATGCCTGTCGCCCAGGCTCAGCCAGGAGAGCCCAACAGCAGCAAAGTGGCCACAGCCCTGCCTAAAGCCTAACGGGCCTGACCAGCGCTTCCAGAAGAAATATGATGCAAGCCAGGAGCGCCCACCTCACATGGGGTCTTAAATTTCCTAGCAGCTGCACCTTTTAAAAATTCAAAAATATAAGTGAAATTAACTTGAAAACGTATTTTTTATTTGACCCAATATATCCAAGGTGAGATCATTTCAACATGTAGTCGATACTTTTGTTGAATTACATTCTTGGGCTGGGGTGTGGCTCGGGGGTGGAGCGCTGGCCCAGCATCAGACACCAGGCACTGGACTCACCCCCAGTATCGCACCAAATAAATAAAAAGTAAATAAAGTGACCTTTTCTCCTACTCACACTTTACACCTGTGGTACTTCTCAGTTCAGACTAGCACACTCAAGCGCTCCCTGCACCCGTGGCCATGGCTTGGACACCGCAGGTCCACGCAGCCCAGGCAGCTTGCTGGCTCTGAGGGCTCTAGCAGAGTCCACTGCTTATGCAGGGCCCACCACTCCAGCTTTGCTTTACTGACCAGGAGTAGAAATCTGGGCTGCAGGTCATTTTACCATGTAAATTACAAAACAAGGAGATATATATATATATATATATATATATATATATATATATATACACACACACACACACACACTTAGCTCTGGGTGGTGGCAAGGATTCCAGGGGATAATGGAGTACGGGCTGCCTGACAATGGTTCAGCCAGTGAGGTGGTTCCCTACAATCATGGTGGAACTGAAACCTTCCCATTGCCTGGTGACACTGTAGCCGTGCTGACAACCCAGTGCATGACTGCCTATGCATGCAGCATGCTCAGCCCTGGGCACTAGCAGGCTGTAAACTCTTCCTAAATAGTAACCCAAGCCTTAGGCTACGGTTCAGCCCACCGATCGTTAATTTTGTGTGTGAATTTGGCTAAGCTATGGTGCCCAGTCACCTAGTTAAACACTCATCTAGATGTCACTACTATTTTTAGATGTGATTAGCATTAATTAATAGACTTTATTAATTAATTTTTTAGATGTGATTAACATTAATCAATAGACTTTGAGTAAAGCAGATTGCCCTCCAAAAGTGTGGGTGGGCCTCATCTAATCTGTTAAAGGTCTAAAGAGCAAGGACTGAGGTCTCCCTAAGAAGCAATTCAGCCTCAAGAACCCAACCCAGAAGCTGCCTGGGTTTCCAGCCTTTGGATCTCAGACCCAAGACTACCACGTCCTCTCTACCTGGTTTCCAGCCAGCCTCCCCAGCGGCTGTACAAACTGCAGACTTGCCAATCCCACGACCTTCTGAGCCAATTAATGGAAATAAAACCCTCTCTCTTGCACTCCAGAGAGATAACAGACAGACAGACAGACAGGACCCCCCACCCCAGGTAGAGGATGACCCTTGAGGAGCACAGAACTGGCACACTGTGGTGTGAGAACAAGGTGACACCCAGCCCCCTCCTCCCTCTAGGTGAGGTACCCTGCAGGGTAGAAGGTGGCGCCCAAGAGGAATTAATGCCCCCCTGCAGTGTCTCCCCTCCTCCGCCTCCTTCACCGACCAGAGACCCTCCCCAAGGGGTGGGACCAGAGGGTCGGCTGTGCCAGAGGAAAGGGGAGCCAGTAACTGCCCAGCATGGGGTGCCTGCCGCTAAGGAGGCTAGACCTACGGGTCCCTGTGGTGCAATCAGCAACCAGAGTGACTTTCCTAAAGCCACATTATGCCAGTGCCAAATTCCAGAGTCCTCCTGTGGCCTCCCGTGACCTTAAGATAAAGCCTAAAAGCCTTTTGCACAACTTACAAGGCTCTGTGTACCCCAGCCTCAGGGAGGCTACCGCTCACGTTGCAGAGTCTTCGGAGCAATTTATAAAATAACACGGACAGTCAGAAGCCCCTTTTACAAAAGCTTGAAATAACTGTCTATGTGCACAGAAAATAACCACCAGCCATTGAGACCTGGCTCTGTGCCAGACCCTGATGTGCGGAGTGGGAACAGTGCATCATATTATTTTCTATAATCATGGAGGCTGGGTACTGCCAGCATCTTCCTTGCAGAGGAAGAAACAGAGGTCCAGAGAGATCTCCAGCTAGTGAGGGGCAGAGTCAGACCTGACCCCAGGTCTTCTAAGTCCAAAGGCTTCGGTCCTCTCTGCCAGGCGCCTCCGTACAAATTGGGGATAATGATAGTGTCCCCCTCATGATTAAATGGCTGAGATGGGAAACTGTCAGAATAGCTCCTGGCACAGCCTCAGGGCTCAGCAAGTGTGGTCACTAGCAGAATCTCACCATCCCCAGGCAAGCAAGATCACACTCACACACGTTCACAGTGATGTCCTCTGGGACCAAGTCCTGGGTGATCATAATTTTTAAAAATTTTTCCGCAATGGCAAGGTATCACGTATTTCTTCCTTTTTAAATTCTTGTACATACAACAACTTGGTGAGCTGTCGGGCTCCTCGAGCAGGCCCATGCATGTTTGAGTCACCTCTGGCCAGGCTCCCCCAGGCCTGGCACAGACAGACCCCCCAGTAAAGGATCAGAGCAGGAAACGGTGCAGAACAGCCCCTCCCCGCCCAGGCGCTCCGGCCTCGCGCTCAGCCAGGGCATGAGTTGGGAGAGGTAGGGGTCCGCCAGGGCCAGGCACTGGCCTCGGATAAGTCCCCTTTGCTGGCACTCACAAAAGGCACCGTGAGATGCCTGGAGGCTTTTCCGGACCCCCGGGGAGAGTGGGAGCGGCCCTGAGGCCTGGGACCTCCGGCCCTGGATCCACGACAGCTGTGACCACTTCAGCTATTTTAAACCCTTGGGCACCAGGAAACTCCTGACCCATCAACCAGGCGCTGGCCCAACGGGGTAAGCCAGAGCCAGGGCAGGAACCCTGCCTGTGGGTGGCCAGAGGGGGCTGGATTGTTTAAGGGGAGGGGGCTCATTTCTGAGCACTCACCTCCTGCTGGACTCTTGTGTTTTCTGTATATTAGCATCTCATTTAGCACCATCCTGCCTCAGGCCCAGAGTTCTACACAGATGGGAAAATGGGGCTCTGAATAGAAGGGCGAATAGCCGGAGGCTACACAGAGCCAGACTGGGAAGAGAACCTCTGCCTTCTCCCGCCTTGCTGTCTGCAGTCCCCTGGCCTCAAGTTCCCATCCTGCTCTGCCCACTCTCAGGAGCCGAGTGACCCAGCGTGATTCTTGGCTCTTTCTGCATCTGTTTCTTCTTGCAAAGTGCAGGGTCACTGCCGGGTGTGATGCTCTGTTCTAAAACATGAAAGATGCCGCTGGGAACAGCTCGGCCCCCAGAAATGACGCAATGAGCACCCACTGTTGTTTCTGCTCCGCGGCTCACCATGGCCTCTTGCGTCATGTTATCACCCCTGATCCTGCTGTGACCTGTCTGGGCCTCACTCAGTGGGGAGAACGCAATGTCCTCCTCCAAGTCTGGGCCTCAGTTTCCCTGAGAGTTCAATGACGGGAATGTTCAGTATCTGCCACACACAGGAAGGGCTCAACAGGATCTCCCTGCAGAGGGGTGCCCAGACCCAAGACCTGGAAGTCCGCTTTTTTCCCACTTGGGCAGGTGCCACCCACAACCTGCCTCCTGGTTGGAGGATGCACTCAGGGGCCACCAGGGGCCAATCAGAAGTTCCTGGCGTCTCCCTAGCGTCTGCTGTTATCCCTTTGGGAGTGAAGGACCCCTGGCCGGGACTTAAGCCCTCCCTTCCCCCACCCACATTCCTCCCGAAGCCCAGCTGCCCAGGAGATGGATTCTTCACCACTGCCTAATTTGAGCCTCCTTTGGGGGGACAGTTGGGATCACAGGGCCGAGTATACCTTTCTGGGGGTGCTTCTGAGCACTTGCCCCTTGTCCAGGCACACCCCTTCCTGGGACTCCCATGCCCCCACCTCCCTCCCAAATACAGTCCCCTCCAGCCCACCTCCTCCCTCTCACGGCCTCTGGCCTCCAGTTCCTGCCCTTGCCCCAGGAAGACCACTCGCTCACACACTGCAGCCCCTGGCTTTGGTCAGGGGAAAGTGCCAGGGATGGGACAGGGCTGTTTCAGTCCCCCACTAGACAGTCACCCTGCACTTCAGCCTCCAAGGACACAGACTGACCTCTACAATGCCATCCCTTCGTTCTGTGGCCCAGGACAGAGCCCCGGCCGTAATCCTTGCCCCCTTCCTGTCTCTCCACTGGCACATTCTCTCAGTCACCAGGTGCCACCCAAATCTCAGTCCATAAACACCTGTCAGATCAATCCCCTCTTCTGCAGCCCTCTCACGCTCCCCCAGCCAGGGTCTTCATTCCCCCTCCGCAGCTCAGCCTCCTCGCCAGGGGTGCCAGGGACAGTCAGGGCAGCTAAATGACCGAATGATCCATTGCAGTCCTCGCTGTTCCAAGCTCTCGCCCACTGATGCCCTGGCTTGGCATCCGGTCCCTGCCAGCTGCCGGTCCTCCACTCCCACCCAGCTCCCTATAGCAACGTGGATCTGGTGGGGGCGGGGGCGGGGCGGTCGGGTCGCACGGCTCCCTCCCCTCCTCCAGAGTTTGCAAAAGACTCCTTTAAGAGGGCGCAGTCATCCGGCCCGGGTCCCAGCCTCTGTGCTCGCGCCAGCTCCTGCCCTGTCCCTTGACAGCTCCACGTTTGCCTTTTCTGCCCCGCGAGGTTGGGGGACGGGGTCCTGGAGGGAAGAGAAGGCTTGAAGAATGAAAAAAATGCCCAACCCAAACTTAGAAAGAAAGAAATTGGCAACCTGGACCACGGCGAGGGCGGGGCGAGCTGCGGAGGGCGGGGCCACGCTTGACGAACGGGCCGTCGGTCCACTGCCCGAGGAGCCCGGCCGGCCGCCCCGCCCACGCCCCGCCCCCCGGCGGCAGAATAAGGCGGCCCGCGGGACCACGGCGGCCGGCGGCGGCTGCAGCTGGGTCACCTGCGACAGGTGCTCGGGGAGGCCCGGGAGTACGCGCGCGCCGGGACCAGGCGGGACACTGCGGGCGGGGAAGATGCTGCGCGAGCGGACCGTGCGGCTGCAGTACGGGAGCCGCGTGGAGGCGGTGTGCGTGCTGGGCACGCAGCTCTGGACCGATGTCTACAGGTGAGCGCCCGCGCCGGCCCGAGACCCCCCTCCGAGACCCTCTCCGATCACCGCGGAGACACCCCCCGGACTCTGGGACGTGGACAGCCTGACCCCCGCCCGAGTTGTCCCGCAGTATGAAGCCCCCAGACATCCTAAGAACCTCACCCCGAAACCTGCCCACGGCCAAACCTTGTCCACGGAGCTGCAATCCTAAGCCGAGGCCCTCCCAGACACCCTGCTCCAGCCTCAGCTCCTCTCCGTCGTCCCGCTGTCCCCACGGTCTGGCCCTCATCCTCCCGTCTCCCCAGGACCTCAGCAGTCCCCAGCTTCTCCACCACCCACTCCCCTTTCACTTCCACTCAGCCCCTCCTGATTCACAGCCTCCTTCCCACTTTCCACTCCCAACTCAGCAGAACCTCCTGATGTCCGCTGCGGTGGGGCAGGACCAGAGGGGAGTGGGGCAGGACCAGAGGGGAGCTTCCTTGGGGAGGAATATGGCTCTGGGGGTTGTTTAGGCTCTGATTTCACCCTCTAGGGGCTGCCGGTGGTTGCCTGTCCCCCAAGTACTGGCCTTGATGTTCATGTCACCAAATGCCCTGCCCGATTTCACCTGGAGTTCAGGGAGGGACCACATGCCACCTGCCCAATGCCTGGGATGCAGGGTGCAGAGGTGGGGTCTGCAGAAAGCACCCCAGATTCGGGATCCTGTTCCCTCCCCATCTCTCTGTCCACAAGCTTGGTGAAGGATTTCTGAGACAGCAGGATTGTATGGTAGCACCCTACCATTACCCACAGTTCCACGAAAATGGCCAAGGCTGGTGTTTCACATTCCCCGGTGTGCAGGATGGGGCCTGGGGACTGTGGGGCAAGCCCCTGCAGGATCATGCTGGGTTTCGTCTGCAGCCCTCTGTTCCAAGAATCTGAACTGTTTCCCATGGCAGGCGGGATTCCGTGTTGTTCTGGGAAGAACCCACATGCAGGACCCGGAGGTGGGACCCTGTGCTGATGACCCAGTGGGTCCCCTAGTCTCTGTGTCATTGCTTCCAAATCATTCTGATATCTGAAGCACCCTGCTTCTCCCAGGCAAAACCCACCTCTGCAGAGGCAGTGGCTCACGTCTATAGTCCCAGCAGCTAGGGAGGCTGAGGCAGGAGGATTGCAAGTTCAAATCCAGCCTCAGCAACTTAGCCAGGCCCTAGGCAACTTGGCAAGACCCTGTCTCAAAATAAAAAATAAGAAGGGCTGGGGGTGTGGCTCCATGGTAAATCACCCCTGGTTCAATCCTTGGTACCAAAAATAATAATAATAATAACCCACCTGTGTGTCTCCCATACACCTTCCCAGCCCATTCTGTCCCTCAGCTCCTCTGGCCCCAGGAGCCCTGCCCACCTGCTCAGCCAGTCTCCTGCCATCTCCACGGCAGGCACTGGCCATGCCGATGCCATCAAGCCCTGGGGCTCCTGTCCACTCCTCCTGCCCTGGCCTCAGCCCCGGCTTCTGCCTTGCCTGGGCCTGGGCCTCTGTTGTCCCTTGTGTAGGTCTCAGAGGTGGCCTGGGGTCCCTGAGGGTCATAACACAGAGTGGAGTATGGTCCGGACACCAGTGACCGGGGCCTTTCTCCACCCCCAGCTCAGCACTGGGCACGGCCAGGGAATGGGCTGGGAGCCAGGGTGCTCAGGTCTCTAAGCCTCAGCTGTCACCATACCCGCCTGTTTGTTTGCTGGGGCTCTTGGGTGCTGCCTGAAAGGCTGGCTTGGTGCCTCCAGTGGGGGCTGGGGAGCAGAGCAGGGCCCCCTGCCCTCGTTTGTCCTGGCAGAGCGAGGCCCAGCCTGGGCGAGGCCAGGAGTGGAGCAGGTGCCAACTCACTCTCCCTCTGGCAGGGGACAGGGGTATGACAATAGTCTTTGTCCTTCCTCAAGACACCAGCCACAGCCACAAAGATCTACACCCCCAGCTGCCCTCGGGGTTCCCCCGCCACCAGGAGAGGCCGAGCAATCTAGACCAGCACCGTCCACAAGAAATGGGGCACAGGCCACAGGGGCCATGCCGATACCATCAAGCCCCAGGGCTCCTCTCCACTCCTCCTGCCCTGGCCTCAGCCCCGGCTTCTGCCTTGCCTGGGCCTGGGCCTCTGTTGTCCCTTGTGTAGGTCTCAGAGGTGGCCTGGGGTCTCTGAGGGTCATAACAAGCAGGCGCAATTAGTTTTTACTTAATCCAGTGTAACCAAATATCATCATTTTGACGCGTCTGTCCTCCATATAAAGGTCGCTAATGAGATACTTTACGTCCTTTCGTGCTGTTTTTGAAGTACAGTGGGGGTGTTAGCTGATGGCACTTCTCAGTGTGGACCCGTCGCGTTGTGAGCGCTCAGCAGCCACGTGTCCGGGTGGCCACTGCCCTGGACAGCACTCCTCGGGAGCAGCATATCTCCATCTCAGCCCTGTAGGGCTGAATAAGCCTCTGTCCAGGGGGCTGCCCTGCACATGGTAGGACATTTAGTGACATCCCTGGCCTGTACTCACCAGAGGCCAATAGCAGTCTCCTAATCGTGACACCCAAAGTGTCCCCAATCAAGGCCAGCCATCCCCTGGCTGGGGACAGAATCACTGCCAGCCGGAGTCCCAGTCTAGCTGGAGGGAGCCTCTGTGGCTCCTAAGGCTGGACTGTCACCCTGCTGTGGTGTCTGATGCCTGCGGTGACAGGAGACCCTGTGCTAAGGAACCAACTGGCCATCTCTCTCAACCCCCCGGGGTCTCGCAGTTGTCCTTTGATCGTCCCATTTTGTAGATGAGGACAGTGAAGCTCAGAGAGACGAAGTTATTTGCCCGGTGACACATAGGACTCAGGTCCATGTCTGTCTGACTCAGACGCACGCTCTTGTCCTCCCCTCCATCCTGTGTGACGCTGACGTAACCAGCAGGCGGAACCAGATGACTCCGTCAACTGTGTGGCCTCCACCTTCCTCCTGGCCCTGAGCCCCCCCACCCCACCCCAGAGACTTTGCCCACTGTGTTGGGCCTCCGCTTCCCACCAAGTCCTCCCCAGCCAAACCCGGGTGCTGGCCCAAGCCCCCAGGGCCTCCAGGTAGACCCCAAGCTGCAAACCTGGTGGACCCCAGGCCAGTTAGGTAGGAGCGGCTTCCCGACCGGGCCTCGGCAGCCCCTTTCCATGGCCTCTGGACTCCCTTTCCGGCCTCAGAGAAGCAGCCTCTTCCCTCCCCTTCCTCAACAGCCCTGGCGTCCTGGCAGGAGCTGTCCGCTGGTCAGCATTAGCCCCCACCCCTCCTCGGGGACGCCTGTCCACTGGGGCGTGACCTTGAACTGCCTTTCCTTTCTAAGCTTCCGTTCACCCACCTGAGTGTCAATCAGAGGACCCAAGGAGGGACCTTTTGGCCCAGCAGAGGCTGTAAACCTGGTCATGGGGTGGACCGGCGGCCACTTTGCTGCATAGGCCACCATGGGAAGGCGTGCTCTGGGCCACCTCTCCTCTCCCTTCAGGAGTATTTGCCCTGACCCAGCCACTTTATTATTTTTATTTTATATTTTTTAGTACTGGGAATTGAACCCAGGGGTGCTCTACCACTGAGCTACATCCCCAACCCTTTTCATTTTTTATTTTGAGACAGGGTCTCATTCATTTGCTGAGGCTGGCCTCAAACTTACAATCCTCCTGCCTCAGCCTCCCGTGTCTGGGATTATAGGCATGTGCCACCACACCTGGCCACAGCCGCATTCTGAGTGCTAATCTCCAGCAAGCTACCGGTAGAGGCACAAAAAAAAAGGAGGTAGGACTTTTTTGTGGAGAACGTACCTTGTAGTCGTTATTCGCTGTTTCCCTGTGCTATTGCTAGTGGGCTCATCTTAGATCTAGCACAAGTGCCCTTGCCCAGTCTCCGCCACGGTCCCTGGGGCTGGCAGCCACCACTTCAGTGGGGCTGGCTGGGGTCCATCTGATGGGGCTTCGAAGTTGGAGAGGGGCACAAAGTGTGGTGTCCCCACCCACCTCTGTGGGCACTGGAGATGTGGACACCTGGGAGTCAGGCAGCCTTGGAGGACAGTAGCAGGGCGGTCACACTCTGCGTGTCCTCCCGTTGACCCACTGACCAGGCCTTGGCTTCTCCGGTCCCTTCCTTGGGTTTTTGATCTGAAGAGATCAGGACTTCTGATAAAGCAGGTGTCCCCCCCCCCCTGCTGGGGAGAGGCCAGCGGGAGTTTCAGGACAAAGATAAGCATTAACAATTGTCCCCTGCCCCTGCAGCAGCCAGCCTCAGGAGGAGCCTGTGGGGGGCAGGGGGAAGGTCCCCTCCCCTTCCTCATTTCCCCAAGGCAGGGCCGCCCAGCCGCTCCCCCTCGGTGGGGCAGAGCGCCCATCTCTGTCTGGCAGAAGACAGGCAGAGGCGCCAGGGCAGGATCCTGGGCAGGGCTGGGCAAACGGGGGACAGACGGACACGCATCCTGCCCTGGGGAAGAGCCCGCAGCACTGAAATTCCTCCCGACTCCCTCCTCTGCGTCTGTCTCTTGGTTCCTGTGAGTGCTGGGGCTTTATTTTTAAAGTGTCATTAGGCTGAGTTGGTGGCCTGCACCTGTAACCGCAGAGACTCAGGAGGCTGAGGCAGGAGGATGGCAGCTTGGGCAACTTAGCAAGACCCTGTCTCAAAGTAACAACAAAAGGGCTGGGGACATGGCTCCGTGGCAGGGTCTTGCCTAGCCCACGTCAGGCCCGGGGCTCATCCCCATCCCCCACCCCCCAAAAAATGATCATTAGATCTAAGGGTAGGATCGGAAATTCGGTAGCAGCAACAAAGGCATGGGGTGCCATGGGCTCCCCTGCCCAGTATGCCAAGCCCTGCCTCACCAATGCCACCTCCACCTAATCCAGGCACCTCTTCCTTTCTGGCCCCACTCACTGGCTTTGTGAGTGCTGTTAAGCCTGAGTTCTCCAAGCTCATTCCCACCTCAGGGCCTTTGCACCTGCTGTTCCTGCTTCCTGGAACACTATCCCCTGAACTTCTCCAAGCC